GACGCGTTTCAGAAAGGCGGGGCATCGAGGAGAAACAATAATGTACAGTATGTGGAAAATAATGTGTTTTTTCAACCTTAAAACGCATAAACACATTTCATTACACCAAATACACAAAATAATGTTCTTTTTAGCAGCATCATATGACCCCTTTAAAAATACGTCACTACACTGAAATAAAGTCGGCAGCAACTTCCGGTTCACGCGGACTTTAAATCTGTGTATGTGTGTAAAAATATTAAAATGTAACCCCCTTTGTAATCATTAACATTTTCAAAAGTAACTAATTTAATTACACATTGTTCTCAGTAACTGTAAATTTACAGTTACATTTATTTTGTAATTAAATTACATAATTCTGTTACATGTAACTAGTTACTCCTCAACACTGAGTCTGCAATACCATAAAACTTGTAATAACGAATCAGTGTCAGAATGAATCAGAATCATTGAATACCCAATTTGGTCCATTTTAAAACCAAAGCTATATGACTCGTGCGCTATATTTATGTCTTCTGATGTTGTACAGTTGCTGTTTGTGAGAAAAGGACCAAATTAATTATCCACTGATTGATTTGCTCATTTATTGTTCATTAATTCATTATCATTTTCAGTCGGTGAGAACAGATCTGTCTGTGCTGTAAAGAAAGTTTTGATTGTAAGTTGAAAAATATCTGCTTTTGTGTTCCCCAGAACTAACTCATACAGGTTTTAAATGACATTCCTTTAAGAACGAGATGTTTGAGAACATAAAAATGGATCTGTTTCCCCATGACAATATTAATCTCTCAGCCATTACATTAAGAGCTGCACTTAATTAGACTGTGTACTGCAGTTCCTAATTAAAGACATATGGCACTCAGTTAATCTTGTTTTTCAATTGCGTCTCAGCTGACATACCATGAACATTTATTTCACACTGAATCACATTTCCCAGGTTTAACAAACGGGAGTGACTTCATAAATCCTGCTTTGAAGGTTTTAGTATTTCTCAGTGACTGATTATATTTGATGTTCTGTGGCCTAACTTTATGAAGTCGATTTCCTCAAATCTAGTGGATTTCGATCCATTTTCGTACAGACTTTTAACATTTCTAAACTTGGATAGGCTGGAGGAAAAACTGGACAAGATGTCCTCCGCACAGCAACAAAGACCTGCCATAATTGTCATTTTTTTGTGTGGCTCAACTCTTCTTTCCCGGGTGTGAAATGAGCGTTGGAAGTCAGTCGCCCACGTTCCCTCCTCCGCACGCAGGCCTCAGCTTTAGGGGCTCCAATGTAACCTCTCAGAATGAAGTCTGTCACTGGCTCCACGACTTACAGTCTCCTAACAGCATTTTTACAGGTTGCCTATGGCAACACAAAGTGCCATAAGAAGGTTCTCTCTCAGACTGCTGTGTGTGTCCCATGATTCCTGCCCTCTAAAAACTGCTGCTAACAACGCAGTACTGCCGACCTGACAGCTGCCATATGCCAAAAAACACTGCACAACACAGACACGTTATGTATTTTTAGCCTGTAAATGATCGGATTACACTTGAAAATGTGTGTGTGTGTTTTAACACAAAACAGGAGAGTGGATTTGCATAACTGTGGCAGCTAGTTTCTGTTTTGCCTCACAGAAACATGCTAGCATTAGCACTGGCTGGCTGCTACATTTGTAGAACATTATAGCATCTCAGTCATGGAGTGATACTGAAATAACTCTCCACATCTGAAATATCTGTCTTAATCGCAACACTTCTTGAACTTTTCAGTTTTCGAGCTTAATTGGCTCTTATGTATTTTAGAATAGCATTACATCAAACCCTCCAGCAGAGGGAGCCTGTATAACAAGTTTAGCTCTCGCAAACAGATTCATCAAGGCTATTAGGCCTACATTTATTTTATGTGCATTTTTAAAAACTGGCTCTTTTTTTCCATGAGTTTTTGGTCATTTAAATGAAGCTAAAATAATATTAACAGGCCTCAGTTTTTAAATGAAACTTAAAAAAAAAAAGAAATCTAAATTAGAATTGCCTTAGCAGCTAAATAAAATACAGTAAGTTTGGGATGAAGTGTTAAAATTACAAAAAAATATATAAAAAATTTATTGAATTTAAACAGAAGTATAAAAAATCACCAAAATGAAAAAGCAAAAAAATCACTAAAAATAAAGTTAAAATAAAAAAAATATAATAATAAAAGCAACCTATTAATAATTAATAATAAAATAAAATTATTTAAAAAATAAAATTATAAATCATACATATTTGAACAGTATACAAATAATTCGAAAATAATTACATTTACGAATTATATATCATTTTAAATACATTATAATTACAATGTTAGTTATAATTTAACCTGTATGCTATATTTCAAGTCTTGGGAATAGACTGCACACAAAATGTAGTGTATTCAGCTTTGTGTGATGAAATAGATGAAATTTTTAATAATTATTGCTGGAAAAAAATATCCAATGAAGCATCCAAAGCCCCTAAAGGGACATGGTGATGAGATAAAATTCAGATGGGAGGAAAAATTATATTTTAATGTTTTTGTGTTTTCTTGCAAAACCAACTTTCCTGAGAGCGTAACAGGAGGATGTTTTTAACAAATTAAATAAAAACTTTTTTTTTTTAATAATTTTTTTTTTTTCATAAAATGTTCTGGCATTTTCTGGCATTGACCCTTGAGGACAACAGACTGTATGTTCTGTGAAAAGCTGCTTCTTTCTGACATTCTTTGCCATTTTGTATACATCTTATGCTCTTTTTACTGAGTGGGAGAGTAACATTTCAAAGTCTGATATGGGACAAATACAAAGTCTGGATCATCAATTTTAGCTCTCCTAATTTGCTTGGCATATATTATCAGAAATGCCATCTGTTGTTTTTTTTAATTGTTTTCTCTGTGTACTAAACAATTAGTTGTGTTTGCTACTAGCATCACCATTGCTCATAATTGGCGTTAAAGGAATAGTTCACCCAAAAATGAAAATGTGCTGAAAATGTACTCACCCTTAGGCCATCCAAGAGGCAGATGAGTTTGTTTCTTCATCAGAACAGATTTGGAGAAATTTGCATCACATCACTTGCTCACCAACGGATCCTCTGCAGTGAATGGGTGCCGTCAGAATGAGAGTCCAAACAGCTGATAAAAACATCACAATAATCCACAAGTAATCCACACAACTCCAGTCCATCAATTAGCATCTAAGCTGCATGTTTATAAGAAACAAATCCATTACTAATACCTTTTACAATTTCAAAAAGTTGCTTCCAGCTAAAATAGGAGTCCATAATCCATGATATTGCCTTTCTTCATTGAAAAAGTAGCCTTGTCTGAATCTGGAGAGAAATACGCATAGATCAAGAACCGTTCAAGTGAAAACAGTTCTAAACAAATACACTACCAGTGAAAAGTTTTGTTTTTTTCATCAAAGAATCCTGAAAAAATCTACTCAGCTGTTTTCAACATAATAATAATAAATGTTTTTTGAGCAGCAAATCAGAATATTAGAATGATTTCTGAAGGATCATGTGACTGGAGTAATGATGCTGAAAATTTTGCTTTGTTCACAGGAATAAATTACATTTTAAAATATATTCAAATAGAAAGCAGTTATTTTAAATAGTTTTTTAAAAATATTTCACAATATTACTGCTTTTGCTGTATTTTGGATCAAATAATTGCAGGCTTGCATGGTGAGCAGAAGAGAATTCTTTAAAAAAACAGTAAAAAACTTACTGTAAAAGCTTTTGACTGGTAATGTATGTTGGTGGATTTTGATGAGAGAGGACAAGAAGGGATTATGCACTTGTATTTTGAAGCAACAACTGAAGCGACGTTTTAAAATTCCTTAATGATGGGGTTTTTTTCTTACAAAAATGCAGCTTTTCATTTCATAATACAATAATTGATGGACCGTGTGGCTTACATGTGGATTATTGAGATGTTTTGCATTTATATTTTCTTCTACACTCATAGTGAATATTTGCTTCTGTCTGTGGGGGTGTGAGAAAACGTCCAGTCAGATGACCACAGCATCAGCTGACCACTGCAGGACTATGACATCAGATTCTAGACAAACATGTGATGGATAGACCTCAATTCCTGGCACATTATTTTTTTCTTTTCAGCAATTGAAATTAAATGCTGTTACAACTTCAAACTGAAAACTTCAAACTAAAATAAATAATTATATTTAAAAAAAAGTTATTGTTAAAATATACTTATACTTAAAAATAATTAATTAATTAATGATTGAATATTGTAAAATAATTGTATAATATTTTATTGTTCAAATAAATAGTCATATGATATTTATTATTAAAATAAATGAATTTGAAGCTGGCCATGTACAGTAAATCCATTGTGAAGTGTCTCTATAGGAATTGTTTAAAACAAAGCATCCAGTTCTTGTGCACAAAGGCCTTTTCGCTGAAGACTGATGCCTTAGCAACCTGTAGGTCCTCTTTTCATCCGTTATGGCCTGGTGAGTCAAAGATATATGGGGCTTACAATGTGCTCATGTGGGAGGGCCTGGTAAGGGGTGGTGAAGTAGAGAGTAAAAAAAATAAAAAATAAAATAAAAAATAAAATAAAAAATAAAAACCACTTGTCCCTGAGCAGTTGTATAGTAGCTTCAAAAAAAAGTTCTCCTTCAAGTGACAGAACTTGAACCCTCAACTTAACTTAATGGCTTCTACTAAATAAATGTCAACGCTGCATTATCTACCAATGAATTTTCACAATGGCATAGCTGAGGCATAATAGCATATTTCCTGTGGGTGTGCTCTAATGCGTATCTTGTGTCATATGTGACTGTTCAGATCTGTCATGTAACACAGCAATTAGAACAAAAACACATGTCTCAAACCTCAAATCTCACACTCATTTACTGCAGAGACAAGCACACACATGCACAAATGCACACACACAAAGGGCCCTGTGGAGAGCCTTATAAAGCGAGCGAAGCACACACACACATACGAGCTCACACATAGAGCTGTTGTTCAGGCTGGGGTCCTGAGAGCGGGGTTCAGAGCAGCCAGTGTCCCGTCTGGCAGGAAGCACTCTGCATTCTCAGTGACGTGCCTTGAGTGGACAAATCATGCCGACTGTGTGGGAGAGAAACCCAGCGCTGCTCGCAAGATGAAGGCAGAGAGGGAGGCATCATGCAAAGAGACAGCCGTTCCTTCACCGTTTCTTCTCCTGTGGCTTTTCATCTTTTCATTGGCAGGTAAGACAACATCATGACTTTTCTACTGTGCATGTTGAGGGAAAACTTTCTGAAGAAGAGGAAGAATAAAAAGTGTATGTCACTGTCAGTTTCACTTTTCAGTGTGTGTTTTGTATGTGGGTGGCTCTATATCACACATAGAGCGATCACTCAAGTGAATTAATTAGGGCACTTGATGAAACTGTACTTTTGAAATGCTTTTAATGTTTTGTTTTATTAGAAATACTGTCTTTTTAATATGAATGCAATAAAGGAAGTTAAAAAGGCAAATGGAATGATTATATGACATAAACTTTAAAAAATGCACATTGCAAAATTAAATTTAAAAAAAATAAATAATCACACCACAGACCATTTTTTTGCATTTTGGCAAAAAAAATCATGTTGTCTTTAATCTCCATCCATGCATTACTGTAGATTTATTTTAAAGGCCGCATTTGTGCAAAAAGTCTGAAAAACAAGTTCAGTACAATCACTACGGCATGAGTGAGTTGGCATGAGCTTGACGTCACATTTTCTTAAAACCAGGTACAGATGTGTCAAGGAAGGGGACGAATGCAAGAACATGTCCTAACTAAAGCCTAGTCTTCATTGGAGAGCTTTGATTAGCAGAATCACTGGGCCCCACTGTCTACATCCCCCCATCCACAAAAGAGCATGTCTCTTGCACCCTGCCACTGATTGGAGGAGAGCTAGCCTACAATCCAGGCCTTTGTTAGCTCATCCTGGCAAGACCTCAACACTGAGAATTGTTGCCACAGCGATTGAGCCATGCCACACTGACTTGCACTGCCCTGGCAAAGCGGGCAAGGACATGTTGGTTCACTCAGGAGCAATAAACACAAAGCAGTTTACCAGCAGGTGTCTCACTGGAGAGTTCAAGCAATGTGTAATTGCGGTACATACTCCAAAAACAGGCTGAAAATAAAAAATAATCATTTTAGTTAGGATATAAAAAGTGAAGACAAAATATTTAATAATGTACCATATATATAACACACAATTTTTGTAATATAGTGACATATTGAATAGAATTACTCATTTATACATATATTGAGTACTTCTATAAAACAATTCCTGTATTATATATACATTGTATGTAATCATTTATATTGAATAATATAATTGAATATTAATATATTTTTATAGAAATATTAGTGAAATATGAGTAGAGTATGATGCTAATTGAGTATGATGCTAATTGCAGACTGAATCTTCTCCCTTTTTTTAACTCATTTTTTTTAACACAAATAAATAATAGATTTGAAAATAATCTTTTAAATTTAGTTGGAAAATGCATTTTGAGTACACCACTTTAAAATAGAGTAATTTTGTGTAGTTTTAAGACAAATCAAATTTATATTTATTCATTTGTCAGAAATGTTTATCCAAAGCCAGTACATTTAAGGTATTTTGGCAGGATGTCACACTTTTTTACTCCAGTCAGTGAATACTGATTTGTACAGTATTGTGAAAAGCTATACAAATAAACCTGAATTGAAAAATGTAACAAAATATTGCTTTGGGGTTTATTATATCTTTTTTTTTTCCCCTTACTGCTCAGGGTCATTTAACACATATTGACTTTATGTGACAACATGCCCCAATTGCTGGAGTGCCAGTCTTTAATGTGTCTGTTTCTGGATGTATTTTCTGTGTGTATGTAGGTGTATGTGGGGTGAACATCAGCTGTCCGTCTCCTCTAGTGCGAGGTACACTAGGAGGCTCTGCTCTTCTCTCTGTGACCTACACCAGCACCAGCTCCGACCAGCCCGTTATTAAGTGGCAGCTGAAGAGGAACAAACCTGTCACTGTGGTCCAGTCCATTGGTACAGACATCATCGGGAACCTGAGGCCCGAATACCGTGGCCGAATCCTCCTGTACGAGAACGGCTCCCTGCTCCTGCATCACCTGCAGCTGTCAGACGAGGGCGCCTATGAGGTGGAGATCTCTATCACTGATGATACCTTCACTGGGGAGCGATACGTCAACCTTACTGTGGATGGTAAGACAGACATAGACATTCCACTTAAGTCAAGAGCAACTTTCCTTATACATGTTGTCCTGTTCTATCACAGTTCCAGTGTCCAGGCCTTTTGTTCACATGGTGGCCTCGTCCGTCCTAGAGTTGACTGAGCTCTTCATACTGAACTGCACTCACGATAGTGGCACCAAACTCACCTATAGCTGGCAGAAGGGTGGGAAATCTTTGACCAATGACTCGCGTCTGCTCCTGTCACATGACCAGAAGGTCTTGACCATCTCCCATGTTGTGATGTCAGATGATGACGTCTACAGCTGTAGGGTGGAGAACTCCATCAGCAGTATGAAGAGCCTGCCTGTCAAACTCACTGTCTACAGTAAGTGTTGAGACTCTACTGTCACCTTCATCCGTGAACTATGACCTAAAATGTTACATTAAATCTTGCTATGTTACCTAATAGGAACACATATAAATTGGAAAGCAAAAATAACCAAAAGATGCATGACATCTACATTCTTGCATTTGGCAGACATGTTTATCCAAAGTAACTAAACTTGCATTCAGTGTACACATTTACATTTTATCAGTTATTGCTTTCCCTGGGAATCGAACCCATGACCTTGGCATTGCTAACGCCATGTACTGTTTGAGCTACAGGAAAGCCTTGATACGTTTACCCCTATATGGGTGCATATTAGTACCATAAAGGTATACATATTAGTACCTAAATGGTACATTTTAGTGTGTTGTAAAAGTGTACTGCCCCATTGATAGATTTTCTACCTTTTTTTATAGGTAGAGTATATTTAAAAAATGACATAAACAAATAAATAGAGGCGTTTGCATGTAGGATGGTATAAAATAGTGTGAATATTGTACATTACATTTTGAATACAAATTATACTTCAAAAACATATATTCAAGGCTTTAAGCATTTAAAGGGATATTCACCCCCAAAATAGAAGTAAATTCTAGCATTATTTAATCATCTTCAAGTTGTTTCAGAAATTTCTGTGCAACATAAAGACATTTTTATGTAGCTCTTTTCCAGTAAACAGTAGTTCATAGAGACCATGACTGTCAAAATTCATAAAGGAAAAAAATAAAAAATAAATAAAATTGTGCCTATGACTTGTGCACTATTCCAAGTCTTCTGAAGCAGTGTTGTTGTTATTGTTGTTGTAAACTAAAATGATTAGAAATCAGTTTTAGTAACTGAAATAAAGCTGAAATAAAACAAAGAATACATATTACATTAAAAAAACCTAAACTTAAAAAAATTTAAAATTTAAAATGTTGCCTTCCAACAAACTTGCATATAAATAAAAAACATTAAAGTACTAAAATTGCTAAAAACAAAAATAAAAAAGTAAATATACAAATGTTTATAAAATGTATTAAATCTTTATAGAACTATTTGAAACAAAAACAAAAAAGCAAATAACAAAATTGTTAAAACAAACTAAAATTAAAATGGAAACTGAATAGATAAAAATAAGATAATTAAAACATATAAATAAATACTATAATAGTATATAAATAATACAAAAATAAAACGGCTCCGCAGTCAAACTGATCACTTTTATAGTGTTTTTGAAGACTGACAGTCATAGTCACCGTGAAAAAGAGCTGCAGATTCTTCAAAAACTGAAGAAAACTAAATAAATAACAGCATACAGCTTTGGAACAACATGAGTGTGAGTAAAGAATGAAAGAATGTTCATTTGTGTAGTTGGGGTGTTTATGAAAAGGGCTGATGAAGGAGATTGTTTATGAACAAGTGTTTTGCTCCACTGGAGCTCAGCTGATCCTCTCATCCATCTACCTCTTCACTTGCACACATTTCTGTCAGAACACTGAGCCTAGCAGGGTCCCGCATTCCCTCTGCACAGTCTACCCTTTAAGAAAGCCCCGAGTTGCCCCATTCATTCTTGCACTTGGTATTCCTGGCAACCTGCGCAATCAATCTTCCATTTGAGGTCTCCTTAATTTAGACCTTGTCTACAGAGTAGTTTGGTCCTTCAGAGCGCTGTTTGTTTTCTGGAGAGGAATGATGTACTATGTCACCCTGTATTCTCCTTTAAATTTTGCAGGACGGAGTTCTCTCTATATCATCCTCTCCACGGGAGGCATTTTCTTACTCATCACCTTGGTGACTGTGTGTGCCTGTTGGAAACCCTCCAAAAAGTACCAGCTCTATTGTCATTATCCGTTCTCGTTGATAGGTCTAAAGCAAGCCGTAATAAATCTCACCAGCTCGCACTGTTGTTGTAAGAATAGTCTTTGTGCTTGAAATGTTAGGAGGTCAGAGTTCCACAGATCAAATGAAAAACAAAGACCAAAGCAACTGATTAAACTGGAAAGAAGTCATCTTTAACACTTTTCGGCTTCCGTTTGTACACCAAATAAATATGGTATTGCATTTGATATTTCAATCACAGTCAGGTATGTTGCTAACCGAAATACATCGTTGTTCAATCTACAGAAAAAGGCAAGAGCTTGCCGGACAGAGCAGACAAAATGTAGCAGAGCAGAGCAACGGCAATCATGAGGGTAACGACAATTCACTGTTGTAGAATTATGCAAGATAAATCTCAATGTTAAAATTATAAACATTTTTAAAGATGCACTCAGTAAACTTTTTTCTCATATGTCAGGCATGGTAAAGTTGAGGACTTTATTTTCACAACAGATCTGTCTTGGAAAAACAAAATGAAACATAAATAGCCCATCCACCTTGTTTTTAAATGCAGAAGGATGAGTATGAGGATGCAGCAGTGACGTTTTGAGATAGCAGGCTGAAGATGATGTTAATAGTGCTGTTTTCTGAATTACGTACTTAACTGCATCATTGAAATTATTGGCGTTAGCTTTGTTTTAGCTTCCACTCAAGGGTTAGCAGTTCTATCACTCTTCTTCTTTGCCTATGAACGCTAGTACTTGACATGGTAAAAAAGCGTTGTGTGTAAGTGGTGATTATGCAGAATGGTTGCAATCAAGGCTCATGGGAACATTTTGGAGTAGATACTCTAATCAGACCAGAAAACCCCAAATCAGAATGTCTGATTCTAAATGCAGTAGTATTAAAACAATCTTTCCATTCACTCTTTAACCTTTTCTATACGGAGTAAAGAATATAGTGAAATCGTGTGCTGGACTGACTTCAACATCATTAGGCAGCCACTAGTCTTTCGCTGTGTTCAATTATCAGCTGTTTGACAGATTTTGTGTGGATTTTGAAGTCAATACAGTGTGGTTGCTTTTCTCATCTTAACAGGTCAGAGAAACACAATACGAATCCTTCAAGAAGACTTTCAAGCTTCAGACACAGAGAGTGGGTGAAACATTAAGGATTCTGAAAAGCAAAAGGAGAAGATGAAAGGACCCTAATGGATGAGTTTTCCATATTCCTACCCAGATCTGGCCCGGACACACATCCATAAACTGAACAACCATAAAGCCTTTTATTATCAGGATAATGTCTTCCCCTTAGATCCTTTATTATTGAAATATGACCCGACTCTTCTCTTTTGTCCCATGATTAGCAGCAAGCATATGCATTTCTGATTAACCGAGGTGTGATTTTCTTTCTCACCTAGTTACATAAGCTTTCAAATTTATGCTTTTGTGCAGGTCCGTTGTTAAGCCGCCTTTGGTGATGTTGAAAGTTAGACGTGAACTTTATTGGCCAAATGGTTAAAAAAACAGGTTTGATCTCTTATTATCCACATTGGCCCTATCCAGTCTTATGTTCTTATCAAAACCGTAAAAAACCCTGTGTCAGCATTAAAACAGCCCCTCTGGGCGGCTCAGACTGCTAATCTATTTCCGCAGAGGAGTGTAGTCAATGGCACATAAGACTCGGAGAATTAAGACGTATAGGAAGCTTTTCTGGCCCCTCGGGGATGAGATTAGAGAGGAAGGAGGCTCAGAACAGGTTTGCGCTTGTATCTGCTGTTCACACTTCCATCCCCAGTTTGTTCAGGCTGTTAATGATCCAGCCACAATAATAATGTTCGTGATCCAACGTTTTTGTGAGTGGTTATGTCAGCTGACCAGAACATATGTTGCTCTGAGTGGACACAGAAAACTGGCACATTACATTGACAGGAATGTCATTGAATTCACCCTCAATTACTTTCACACAGCCTCAATTTTATAGTAATTGCTACGGTTTTATGTAAATTTGCCTTTAGTTTGACCTAAAGTTCTTAGTTTTCCATTAGCGATACAAATGTGTTATAAGAAACCACGAATCTCTTCAAGTTCAAGTGCTGAAGCTGCATATGACACAATGAACCATCATTTTTTCAGACGTAAATATAGACTCCAGGGGCTGCTTAATTAAGCAGGATGAATGAAAGGACTAAATTAAATGATTACAACAGACAACAAGGGGGCTGGGCACCTTTTCACCGTAGTAACTGTTCCCCCTGACAACAGTGGAGAGTAACAATTATATTCAGGGTCCTTCAATACACCCAGGCTTCCCTTGCTCAGTTGCTCTATTTGGCTCCATTTAGCACCTGGGACGGCTGGGAACGCTGCCTGCACGCGGGGGGAACTGGGAGCTGCTGACGCCGCACAGGCAAGACTGCTATTTTCTGACTCAAACATTCTATCTGCAATGCTACGAATCTAACATTTCATTGCGTCCAGATTAAGTTACATGGTTAGAAAAAAACGTGGCCTGCTGTATCTTCAAGAAAGTCTCAGGTAACGCTATGTCTGATTGTTTGGCAATCAGAGTCAATTGAGAGTTATTAAAGTTGTACTTCTGCACAGATGTGCACTATAAAGTGTGTTCTGTGGATTTGATTTGTCTTGTGAGAACACTTGATTGGCTTTTTAAGAAATAATTCACCAAAAAATGTAAATTCTTTTCTCATTTACTCCAAACCTTTATGATTTTCTTCCTTCTGTAGAACACAAAAGAAGGTATTTTAGAATGTTTCAACTGTTTTTTCCATACATTGAAAGTCAGTTGTGGTCTAAAACAACACTGGACCCTACTGACTCATTGTATGGGAAAATAAATAAATAGCTTGACCCTTGTTTCTGCAAAGTGTAACACTGCTTTAACCCTAGGTTATGAAGCTCTGCTCCATAGCCTGGTTAGCACAATTTTAAGGGTTAACTGAATCTTCAATTACTGCTTATTTGTTTGATTGACAGCACAATACTACATGGTTAAAGACTTGTACTTATAATTCTTTATTTATTTATTTGCAGAGAACATTTTGAGATCTGGTCTTGGTGGATCTGCTCCTGGATACCCTTACCAAAAAGTAGTATACTTCAAGTTTATTTTAGTAAGTATACTTAAGTAAAGTTCAAGTATATTTTTAAGTATACTTTCTGTAGTAAGTATACAAATATCAGTGTACTAGTAGTATACAAGTGTACTATTCGCCCTCTACAGTATAACAATGAAAACACGGATTCTAGTATAAGTCAGGTATACTTAAATGTTATTTTAAGTATATTTCTGAGAAGTACATAAAGCCCATTTCTGAGAAGTACATAAAAAGTAGACTAAAAGTATACTTTCCTATTTTTAGTTTAAAAGAAGTATACTAATAGCACACTTGAATAAACTTCTTTTTCGTAAGGGTAGGGGTACCAGGGCAAGTGGCTTACTAGTTTATCCTGTCAGCATGGGGTCTGGCTCCTCCTCCTATGCTCCCAAAACCATCTATTTGGATGTAGACGGTAAAGTGCAGAAGGTGAGTGCCTCATTTTAGTGTATATTTATCTGGATTTAAACTCACAAGCTAGTGGTTATCTTGAGATCTTGAAGTACTATTGGTGGTTGACCAATAACTAGAAAGCAGGGTGTCTGATGGCCAATATAATCCTGACAATTTAATGAGTGAGTGAATTAAATACACACATAATTGCTTAAATTAAATGAATGCATTTTATAGAACAATACTGAAACCGTAATATTATCCATTGACAAAAAAAAAAAAAAGGCTAAACATGGTCCTGGTCGCTATATCAGTTTATTACAAATATTTGAGGCCTGAAATGCTAAATCAAAACCGATAAACCAGATATTAAGCAGTTTGTTTTGCACAGCACTAAATCTGTCAAGAGGAGTTCTGGGAGATCAGCGTGCACAGGTTAAAAATAAAGCTGAAGATGACTGGTTCCACAGGTGTGACTGACATTGCATTCTGTTGTGTCACTTGACACACTGTTTTCTCCTGTTGTTTCCTAGAGAATGACTGAAGAACTGTTAATAGTTGTGTTTAAGTCCAATTTACAGAGCGTTGTTCTACATACGGATCTTACAGATGCTCAATCATACTCAATATCTGCATATTATAATCTATGATTGATGAAAAAATGTTTTATGTATTTTAGAAATACATGTGTCAGATTCAGCAATTCATCTTGAAGCGTACCCAACTTCCTAAGAGCTCAGAGAGGCCAAGTGGACATTGAGAGCGTTGAGTGTGGCATATGTTTTCTGTAGTACAGGATCTATTGGCGATCTGAGCCTGTCTACCACAGCTGCCTCTTTCACCTTTGTTATTCTCTATTTTAATGCTTTTAATTAATAAACTAATTTAATTGAGCATATGAATTCTAACACATATATATATATATATATATATATATATATATATAATTTAAAAAAAAAACATTTTTGTTTTTTTTGTTTTAGACCATTAACTTTGTCTCATGTTTGCTAAAATAAAATAAAAACAGACAAATGAGATGATACTATGAATATGTGGAAGTATTTGATGTTTGAGCTTACATTTTGGGCTATGACTTGTGATTACAAACTTTGTTGTCTTTGACAATCTGAGTAAAGTGTGAAATTTAAGCCAAAGTCTCTATTTAATCTCATTTCTGCTTAGAAGAAACATTGAGATATTAAAGGGATTTTTCTGGTGAAATCAAAATCATTAATTCATCACTGCACCCCATAAACACAATCAAGCCTTCGAAAAAAAAAAATCCCCCAATATTTTCGATGACATTTCAAGATACTTATCTCAAGTTATGTGTTTGAATTGCATTGCAGTATTAATAGCGCAGTAGCATGAGACTAATGGTACAAGTATGACAACAAAAACACCCATAATAAAACTAACACACCCTTATTTGTCCTGCTCAGGTGCTTTTCAGTCGTCACTGCAGCCCATGTGATATCAAAGAACTGCTGTGTTCCTCCTCCAACATCCCTAGGTCTGTATATCACTGATATCAGCACTAATCAACACCTCAATCCATTTTGCAAACTTGCAGTGGTTGAGAATGAAGTTCTCTGTAGTGTACAACATGTTCAGTGCCAGACATAATGAATTCGTCAACTTTTTATTTCTTCTGTCTATAGGAACACTGCTATAATGATGGTGGACCCTGAAGGTGCACTTGTGTCCATTGATCCCACGATGCCCACCAACACCCCCAAGTAAAACACAGCCTGGCCCTTGTTGTTTGTGTAAGCAATTATGTTCATTTTCAGTTTAATCTGTCAGTTAATAATTCCATTTTGTCCTTTTAGCTCCCTGTACAAAGTCATTCCTTTGTCTACCGGCCAGCTGGGAGGTAACATGCATAATTTCTTTTTACAGAATTTGACTCACTTATGACCTTTAGTACCCTAGATTTACATTTGCTCATTATAATGTTTCAAGCTAAGAGGTGTTCTGCCCTGATTTATAGCCTGTGTATTTAACTCAACAGAAAAGGAAGATATGTTTCAGAATGTACTCTCACAGGTAGCAGAGCAGTTCAGCAGGTAATGGACATGTTTGTTTTCTCATGGACTGAAGATCAATCTTTATCACCATAATGGTTTTGTACTAAAACCAGGAAAACATTGTTCCTTCACTCTACAGAGCATTTAGGATCAACGAACTAAAAACAGAAGTGACCAACAGACTGGCTATGCTGGAGAAGAGAGTAGAACGTATGTAATGACAGTGTTGCTGTTTGACTGCTTTCTTGTTAGCTGGTTTCATTGTTGTTCAGACTTAAAGCTAAAGTACACTACAAGACTCACACGAATCTAAACAGATTTGCAGTTCAAGCAGCACGTGAACTGATCATCACTTACTCTTTTCTAGTTATTGCACGAAATAAACATGAATGAACATCAGAATGTTTCTTGTTTCAATCGCAGAAAGATGTAAATACACACCATTTTTCAAGTTCAGGTCCACCGACGTTAATCTACTCTCCTGTCCGGTTTGTTTGTCCGAAAAATGGCAGATTCGGCATTATGATTGGTCAGATCGCCTGTCAATCAAACTCCTGGCAAAGGGTCAATTATGGCTTGTTGAGGAGAGGTGTGATATTGCTTCTGTTGAAGATCCTGAGGAGAACCCTGCACCATATCTAGAGACCCATATATCATAAAGACTAGGCTCTGTTGGCTCAGGCCACCCTAGCAACAGCACAGACAAGTGATAACCACTCTTCTTACTTTGATGATTTTCTATGCAGTGGAGGGGTTAAAGGTCGTAGAGATCGAAAAGTGCAAAAACGATTTGAAGAAGCTGAGAGATGAGATGACTTCCAGAGCAGGTGGAAGGTAAGTGAAAGAAAATATCTTCCAACGCAAGCGTGACGATCTATCTGTTTATCCATCTAGAGCGGCTCTTTTTCAAAAAAGAAACACAAATGTATCTAAAAGACTAATCGACCACTCTCCTTTTAGAGTGAATTGTCCATGCAAATACAATTTCTCCGACGATGGAAAGAAATTAACTCCTAGACGTGACGTCCCCAGCTACCCAAAGGTGCTTTAAAGTTTTATGACACGCTTTGATTGAATTATGAGCCCTGCGGGAGAACATCTTGTCTCTATGTGGTATTAATCTCTGTTAATCTTGATTTCCTCAGTACACACTTTCTCAGGAGACCATTGAAGCGCTGAAGAAACCAACCTTTGATGTTTGGCACTGGGAGCACAATGAAGTGAGTCTGACTCAGTGGAATATTCAATACATTTAGAGATGAAATCATGCACACATGCTCGTTTTCTGTTTTCCTGTTTATCAGATGCTGAGCTGCCTGGAGTACATGTACCATGACTTAGGCCTCGTGAAGGAGTTTAACATGAACCCGATTACTCTCAAACGCTGGCTGGTAAGAAAATTAGTATAATTGTAAAAATGAAAGGGTGCAAGAAAGGTGATTTCCACTGAATTTTCCAGGTTAACTTCTCTGATTCTGATTCTTTTTATATGTTCTCAGCTGGGCATTCAGGAAAATTACCGCAGCAACCCGTTCCATAATTTCCGCCATTGTTTCTGCGTGAGTCAGATTATGTATGGCATGATCCACCTCTGCAACCTTCAGGTGAGAACTTTTACGTACGTAGCAATTAGCACAGCAATTACCGTGGAACAGTAAAAGTGGAAACCTGTGTGTGTGTGGCCTACAGGAAAAGCTCACGCTGACAGATCTGGGCATTTTAATGACTGCTGCCGTGTGTCACGACTTAGACCACCCTGGATACAACAACACGTAAGATCTTCACCTCTGTGTAATTATGCTCTTGAGTCAGTTCTCATAAAAACATACAGGTGTACCCAGGTATTTGCCTACACGTTCGTCATGACAATTTTACAGCCTTATATCTGTGCCGTTCATCTTAGTAAGCATTCCCATGACATATGACGAGATAATGTAGTGCTGTATATATGCAGGTACCAGATCAATGCTCGTACCGAGTTGGCAGTGCGCTACAATGACATCTCGCCCCTGGAGAATCACCACTGCGCTGTGGCCTTCCAGATACTCTCACTGCCGGAGTGTAATATATTTGCAAACGTGGAACCAGAGGCCTTTAAACAGATCCGACAGGTATAGCACAAAATATCAACTGTATCATCGTTTAAGAAATTTAAGGGGCCGTTCACACAGAATGCGTTTTTGTATTTAAAAATGTGAGACGCAGGGTAGTGGAATGAAAAAAAATGTGAGGTGTCAAGACCTCATACCTTTTTTTTGGAGAGTGTGATCATCGTGGCCAAAAGAATTCACAATTGCGATATTATTGTTATATATATATATATATATAGCCTATATATATATTTGCTTAATCACAACGTTTAATCGCAATTGCAAAGTTTATTCGCAACATATAATCATTGCCGTTAATAGTGTTCGACGTCTGTTTGATTACGTGTAATTTGTAACTAACTGCATGATTTTTATTGTACATTTCTGCCATAGTCACCACTAATAACCTACTCCTAAATATAATGTAGAAACTTATAATGTAGAAAACGATTTGTATCGTGAAAAGCGCTATACAAATAAACTTGAATTGAACTGAATATCAATCAAATTTTTAAAAAATAAATTATGCTATCAGTCAAATTCATCTTTAACTTTGTTTATTTTGTGTTCTCTTTTATTTGGCCACTGAATCACACTCAAAATACGAGTGTAGGGAGGCGTAGGGAAAGTTTGTAACCATAACTGTTCATAAGCAATACAAAAAACAACTTCCTGTTGATCTGTGCTTCCTGCAGACTATGATTTTTACACCCCATTTTTTTACAGAATCCAAAGAATTCCCATATTGATGGCTAACTTTTTTTTTCAGGTGTGAATAGGTTGTCTTGATTTCATATTTCATATTCTCCAACATGAGCAGTAGTAGCTTTGTACTGCGTCCTTGTCTTTTTTCCTTTCATTTTATGACAGGCAGCGTTAAGGTGTAGTACCGCCACCTACTATGTTGGAGTGTCAGCAAGTTGAAATGTTACTGGCGCTGGGTTATTTATGCTATTATCGCATGTGTGGTACTGACGTGATATCAATATTTATTTTTTTAAATATCATGTTTATTGTCAAAATCAGTATATTGCAACACCCTTACACCCTTAGATGCTGAAAAAGATGCAAGTGGAACCATCAAAGATGTCCGTCTAGCACATATAAAATTGAGAGTGGTAGAAAGCAAAATCATTCTGTATGAATGGCCCCAAAGGTTTTTTTTTTTTTTTGCAGTAAATGTTCTTATTTAAATGTTAAACTTAAATGTTTTTATTATATGACAATGTATTGGCAGGCTATCATCACACTGATTTTGGCCACGGACATGGCCCGGCATGGCGAGATTCTGGACTCGTTCAAGCATAAAGTGGACAATTTTGACTTCACCAATGAGGAGCATGTGACTTGTGTATGTATCATACACCCTTTCTGCCAAAACCACATCTTAAACTAGCTTTAACCAGCAAAAAGATTGTTTTTCAGCAGTATATGGCATGAATTTGACAGGTACAGATTTGTTGACAGTTAGACAAGTAAGGATTTGTCGTCTTCTCATGTGTTCAGCTGAAGATGGTTCTTATCAAATGCTGTGACATTTCCAATGAAGTCCGGCCTACAGAGGTGGCAGAGCCGTGGGTGGACTGTCTGCTGGAGGAATATTTCATACAGGTTTGCTGACTCTACATCTTGTGTTATAATTGCTCTACAGTGACAGGTGGGTTTGTTTACGCTGTCTTGTCTTTGTTCAGAGTGATAGAGAGAAATCTGAGGGGCTTCCTGTGGCACCCTTCATGGACAGAGACAAAGTCACCAAGCCCACAGCCCAGATTGGCTTCATTAAATTTGTTCTCATCCCCATGTTTGAAACTGTCATGAAGGTAGGTGAAATAGTCAAAGTAATAGTTCACCCAAAATGCAAATTCTGTCATCATTTGCTCATTTCATGATGTTTCAAATCATGTCACGTTTTTCCTCTCAGCTCTTCCCTCAGATTGAAGAGATTATGGTGCAGCCTCTCAGAGACTCACGGGACCATTATGAGGAGCTGAAGCAAATTGATGATGCCATGACCGAGGTAATTATGTATATGTATACATACAGTATAGATACATAGATAGATTTATACAGTATATATATATAGAGCCCCATCTTGCTAACATAAAGGTATGTTTTTTGTTCAATGAGGCACAGAAGAAAAAAACAGAAAATATGTCATTAGGAGGGAAGAAGAAATAAGCACTGCTGTGAGCATAATGATACTGTGTAAGTATATTTGATGCATTATACAGTGAGTACAGTGTTTTGTCCTTTTAATATTCCAGAAAGCCATTCTTTTCACTGTTATATGCTTTATGTTTTCTTTTTCCTTCACTTGCATCTTACAGTTATTTTCTTTCCAGTAATCTGTGCTTTTTATAGTGGAGCATTATTGGAAGAGTGATCATATGGCTGATGACTTTTCTTGTGTAATTTTAGGAGTCAGATTTTTGACCCGTCTGCACTGTGTGGACAGAGTTCTGGCACGAGGATCTGTGAGACGCTGGGCTGCTGTTGAAGACGGCTGGTTTGAATCCACTGAATCTAAAGGGTCACCCGATCGACTCATGAAATCACAAGTCGCTTCCTTTTGCCAACAGACTGCTAGGCCGGTTTGAATATTTCTTTTTGTCATCAATCAGATATAAAGCCTTTTCGGCTGACATGGGAATATATATTTATCACTGCAGTTTTAGTCCTGTTTGGTTGTTTTTTTTGTCATATTTTACAGTGCTCAATGGAAAAACTGCATTTCTGTTGCATGCACATACATAGCATGTAGTCATCTGAAAGGTTTGTGATCCCAAAGCAATTTGGAGACCGGATTACAGCATGACGTATAACCGTAACTAGTGTCTTTTGAAAATGTGTTTTGATGATTATAAAAGGTCAGCATGATATGATACGGTTCCTTTTGTCAACTTTTTCTCTCCTGAGTTCCTCCAGAACACAGCATTTCACATTTTAGGTGGTTTTGCGGTGAGCACAATACCACTGTAAATCTGAATATCAGCTTTTAAGGAACCTGAGAACTCCCTTTGCAGTGTTTTGATTCGGTTTCCCATTATTTATTTGGTTATCGAGGTTTTAAATCAATGCATTTACACTAGAACATACAGATAGATGATACAATTGAAAGGAAAATTTTATCATAATTTACACACCCTCATGACTTTTTTCCTACAGTACATAAAAGAAGATACTTTGAAAAATGTCTCAGTCCTGACTTCTCATTGTGTGGACAGTTGAAACATTCTTAAAAATATATTTTTTTTAGTGTTCTGCTGAAGAAATAATGTCATACAGGTTTGAAAACAACTTGAAGGAGAGTAAATAGCAGAATTAAATTTTTGGGACACCATCCCTTTAAATTATTCAATTTCTTCTTTTGCTGTCTGAAAGGTCATACCAGAAGTCATACCTGCTAACCACGTTCAATATTTCTACCCTTTGGCTCAATGTTCCCACCATTTTTTGTTCTCTGTATCCTGTTTGCTCTGGTTTGCTTCTAATACTTCCTCAAAATAAGACAATAAAGTCTGTGGGAGTTCTGCCTCCTGGCTGTTCTTTTCTCCTTTTATCAGTGTGGTAATAAAAGCTCTCGCCAGGAGGTCACATGTGTTTGCTATTATGACAAGGTTAGGCCTGTACGCATCATTTCATTCATATGTTTCACTGTCAGCGTTTGGCGTCTTCGCCTTTAGAGCAGCACATTTTGATGGATGAAGATCACGGCACATATTTCCTTCGCTTAGGGCTGCGTAACTTGTAGAAACAGGATTGGAGTGCAAAGTTTGTCATTGCAAGCTATCAATTAAAGCAGCTCATTTTAAAAGATGAGTGGAAAGTGATGTATAAATAGACGTATATTTTAAGTCACGTGACCCAAAATGCAGGTCTAAAGCACAAATTATATAGCGCTGTTTGTCTGTCATTGTTCCTGGTGCACAAACTGGAACATGTACACCTCAACCTGTATTTTAGAGTCACGCTTTTCCCATCCCAACTGGATCTGTTTGTGCCTTTGGCTTGTTTTCATGATAAATGGCATAATTTTATATACATTTCTTCATCTTGTTGCCTCTATTAGATGATGAGCCTTAATTTAAGCTTTCAATTACCCATCTGCTGGCGTGTCTTGCTTTGTCTCCACTCGACTGTGACATATTGAGTTCACAGATTATCAAAGCCTGTTTCATCACCCACTTCAGAGAAACGAAAACATTCATTTGAATGAAAACAACGCTTCCAGTGCATCCAGGCCCGCCTTTGCTTTTAGCTACATGTGCAAAATATTTACATTTTGATTGCATTTTTTTTATTTTTTTTTTACAGCTCTTGAGTGGAAAAGTCGTCATTTATGTCTCAGACATGTTCCAAAAAGTCCCAACATCACTTTAATCCTTCCCATACTAATTAAGAGTCAACGAAAAGTCGTTTTGTACCTAGAAGGCACAGACTGACCCATTAAGTTGTGTTTTGTGTGTGCTGGCACCTTCAGGTTTTGTCGCCTGTGCTCCACTGACTGTTCACAGGGTGGCAATATTTCTCTAAAGAGCTCTTTTGTGCTTTCCACTCAGACCACTGAAAGAAGAGCAAT